CAACTAAAAGATACAAATACTCTTCCATGTGCTCCACTAATGTTTCAAATGAATTCTGCCAAGAAAGGGTTAAATCAGCACCCAAAGTCTAAATATTTTCATCTTAAAATTTTATATCTTTATCCATATTTTAACCAATTCTTAACTAAGTTCTATGAACATTGCGTTTTGTGTTTCATATTTGTTTCAGTTTTACTGCTGCACAACTAATTGACTGATTGATGGATCAGTGCCCTATATTCCCGGTGACAGTAACGATGGCCGACACTGCAGCAGTCAACAGACAAAAGAAAATTCAAAAGAACAGCTCATCTAGCAGGCCTTTAAAACACGACTGCTTTCTGTGTCTGTTTCCACACTCTATCTCTGAGTGGCACTTTCCAGCCCTGAAAGTCTGGATGCACGGCGCAGGAGGCTCCACGTTCGAAAACATACATCAGTGGCAGGACGCCATGACCCCTGCAGATGCTCACAGCCCAAAAAATTAGGAGAGGCACATTCGAGGAGGAGCTTAAAAAGCCACCAGTGGACCTGGGCCTACTCACGTCTACATTCCTGTGAGCTTCTGAAACAGAACAGAGAGCACTGCTGCAAAGTACACACTTGTAGCGCCTTGTTTTGAAAGAATACCATTTCAGTAATCTCATGAAACTATCACATGCTGGCCTTATGATACTAAATTCTTAACCTGGAGGGAGAGCAGGACAAGCTTTGAATGTGGCTTTATTGGTTAAGACTATTTCAAAAACAATGGGAGGTTCTGTTTCACAAGTACATGCACCCAATTGACACCCCACAAGTGAGCGAGCTCTTGGAGATGAAGAGACCCACTGTGTCTGCACTCAAGGTGACAAAGGGACTTATCATATTGTCCTAATTTGATATCTACAGAGAATTCCCTGCGTCTGCAGTGGCAGACTTCTGTGCCACTACATCAAGCATTGGAGCCACTTAATGCAGGAGAACAGACTGGTTCTAAGAAATTAAATGTATGAATACCGTTGTAAAACATTTGACCCTGAACTTCTGGGCATCTCATTCTACATACAAACAAGGACGATAAGCTCTCGAGCTGCTTATACATCAATCAGCGGGCTGTGGTTGCTCCCTGGGCCCCATCTTGCTTCCTCTCAACTACTTCTGCTCATGTGCTAGTGGAGATAAATGACACGGCAAAAAAAACCCCAACTCCTTACTGCCCCTGCAGACACTCCAGACAGACAGGAAGGGAAACACAGGGACACAGCAGCTGACATTTTGTTTGAAAAGTTTCTTCTCATGTCAGAGAATTAAAACTAGGGCAAATCCTGAAATTACTAGAAATACGCATGTGCACTTTCTTGCCAAAATACCAGTTTTACATTTTTCTCTTCGATATGAAATTACAGTCAGCAGCTAGTTAGCTTCTCTTAGTATAAAGACTGGAGGGAAACTGCTAGTCTGACTCTGTCCAAAGGTTAAAGAAAAATTAAAAAACCCACCTGCCAGCACATCTACGGCTAACAAATTAACAATTTCTTTTTGTTTGTTTAAACCATGCCTTATAGGACCAGAACTTTGCCCCAGGGGGACTCAGACGGCTAACTATGGAAGCGTGCCAGAGGGTTAGTGCCATGCTCGGAGCTATAAAAGTCCACTGTACATAAACACATGACATCTTTGATAGACGCAGATAAGCACAGTCCATCAGTTTGAGCTGTAAAGACAACAGAAATCAACTCGCGCTTCTGTGGGTGCCCAGAGGGAGGCTGCTCCTATTGCGTATTAAATCATGATTGTGATCGATCAGATGGAAATAAATGCCTTAGCGGCTTCATGCGAGGACAAAAAGAACACAGAAGAAGAGCAACAGAAAAGTTTGATAGCCAAATGAAAAAGAGAGAGAAGGAAAAAGAGCCAATATCAGTCTCCGTCCTCTCAGCCAGCAGAAAAAGCACAGTGGATTAATTCATCACCATGCTAAGCCTTTGCCCTCCTCTGGAATAAATTACCCAATGACTCTCAACTTAGACTAAACACACACACACACACACACACTGCTGGCCAGAGAGCACACACAGAAACAGAGGGAGAGAAAACTGACAAATGCACAGAGGCTGCCCAGGTCAGGTCAGCAGTGTATCATATCTTTACAACATACTCTTTAAAAGTAAGATGCATCATATGAGGTGCAACAGTTTGCAAGCTGGTAGAAAAAGCTGACAGACCCCCCACCCACCCCCATGTGCCTTCTATGGATGGGGTTGGGGGGGAGGTCTGAGGTGTAGCCAAGTGATTCCACCAGTCATGTTGGGCTGGAATCAGGCAGCGAAGCGAGATGACATTACTCTCTGGACACTTGTGAGCTTAGCACCTTTTATCAACCCGTTTCCATACAAAGTAACGGTAAAGCCGAGCCCACGTTTTGCTGTGCAGAGGAGGCGGAGGTGGTGGAGGGGAGGGGGCAAAGCTACTTGATTTCCTTGAGTGGGGGCAATCAGACTGGAAAAGTCAAGGCCAGATAAATGGTGTTGTGTTTGGCTGAGGTCTTTTTTTTTTTTTTTCTCTCTCTCTCTGTCTATTTGGCCCCACACACACACACACACACACACACACACATATATATACACAAAGCCCACTATCACAGGACCTTGTACTTAAACCTTATCATCGCCAGAGCAGCCCAGATGGTAACGTACCCTTGACAAAGACTCACATCGCACTCCCAAACTTTCTATTGAATCTTTTCTCACACTGTAGACGCCTGCACATGTTCTCTCCCGGCCGCTCTGTCTCCGAGTGTACAAAAAAAAAAAAGAAGTAAGCAAAGATACAGCACAGTTTTAACATTTGCCTGGAGTTTTGTAATACCCCAAACTTTGCCGTAGCCGCTGCCAGCTGTGTGTGTAGATGTGGATGATTAATACGATCCTTTAGGGGATGAATGTGTGTGTGATCGCCTCAGAATTGCAGTGATTCAAACCAGGACATGCAAACAGAGACGATAAACAAAATAAGATGCACAAAACTCTTAAAATACTGTCAATCTAATATGCTTTCTATGGAGGCTGTAATTAATGAATGCCTTCATTATTGATTAATCTACCAATTAATAATTTCCTCATTGGCCACAACTTTTCACAATTGGCTCTATTTCTCCTGTTTTTAACTTGCTTTCTAAATTCAAAACTTTACAGTCACATCAGACAAAGAAGAAACAGCAAATCCTCACATTGAAGAAGCTGTGTGTTTTAACTAATTCATTTTCTGTCGTCCAAACAACCGTCTCATCAACTAATCGTGTCAGATCTACTTTCTACTGTCATCTTGTGCAGTTTTCTCCTCCTCAAGTTTCCGTTCGTGACATGTTCTGAATGACATGCAAAGAAATTGGTACTTCTTCAATGACAGTGTCTTGCAAAAAGGGGCCTTATTTAATCTAGCAGGTGCACAATTCCACAACAATCAATGGCTGTTATCGATCACTTTTAGAAGAAGAAATCAAAAGAGCGTGAGAGCGTGTTGCTGGGCCTTGAATGCATCGTGGAGGAGCTGACGTTCATGTGATTTTTAGTTACGCTTTTTCTATACATTATGGTGAAATCTAAAAACCGCCCGAGGAAAGCGCAGATGATGTAAAAAGATGACACCTCACAGAGCAGAGATTAACCATTTCCAGCTGAGGAAGATTTGTATAGCCTGCCATTAGTCTAACTCAATCAGGGGACTAATTTAATCAAAGGCACAGTGGGCGTCTTGACGTGGGGGCATCTGTCACACTGACTTCTCACTGCATCCCGCGGTGACATTTGGCCACGAAATTCAGCTTGACAGAGGCCCTCAAATAGCCTGCGGTCTGTCAGACGAACGCACATAAACACACATATACACTCGCACACTGCTAAATTCACAAGATCACACTTTTTTCTCCCCCCCCCCCCCTTAACGGACGTTTTGTGTTTGCAGACGCCTGCAGTTGTGCATCCAAACATCACAAGCTTCCTTCTGACTTTTATCACCAGTGTGACTCTCCTGCATCACTATTCTTCGATTAGAGACAGAAAGGCTGCTCTCAACTCTTAATTACTGAGCTTTTTTTACCAACAGGATGCCACCTTTTGCCATTAAAACCAGGGCCTTCACTTTTCACTTTGCAGGGAGGAGTCACATTTTTCTCACCTTCAAACACATATCTGCGTTTTAATCTGAACTTAGGTGTAACCTCTTGTGCAATAAAAGCCAGATGAAAACAGCATCACCTTGATTAGAAACACCTATTTAGTGCTTACACAGAAGCAGGCGCAGCCCATTTTACTATATTTAGCGTAATTATTCGTGGGCCAGTACACAAATGGGATTGTTATTTTTTTGCAACACACTCATGATCAACTTTTTTTTTTTGCTATTATGGAACAAAATCCTCCTCTCCTACTTTCACTAAATGCTCTTACAGTTGAAAAATTGTCTGGTTTTTACACATGCCAGACAAAGTTTAGGCCTCGATAAGATCCGAGAACGTCCTACTCAAAACTGGAAGCAGGTAAAGCAGAGGTCAAAGCATCAGCGTTTTATGCTCAGATTTTGGTTCTACAAAGTCTGTTGCTCATACAGTGAGCTTTTATGTCCCTGCTTCATCCTGAAACTACAAAGAGAACAATACCTCAGGTTAGTGTGAAGGGCCCGTGACCCCGCGACCTTCCACTGAGTGTGGTCTGTTTCCTCCGAATGAAAAAATGTCAAGTCAAGCATTAAAATTTAGGGAGTTTAAATTAAAGCAATGCAACATATTGTTTAAAAAAAAAAAGCCATAAAGTGACTGCATGTTGTATCAAACAGTCAGATTTTTGACACTTTTCCATTTTTCGGGGCCACTGCATACATTTCTGTCTACGTTTTTGGATTTTTGCTTGAACAACGTGAAACTCCTTGTAAAAGACAACAACAACAACACTTTTCACTCTCTCACACACACATTAGGCTTCAGTGTCACAGTAAAATGAAATGAATGCAGATTCCCTCACCTTGCAGCTAGGGGGTTTTAGGGGTAGTCCAGAGGCAGGATTTCCTTGATGCTGAGTGGTATTAGTCTGCTGGGGTGAGTGGGAATCCTCGGACTCTTTTCCACTGTGGTAGACCACCCTATCAGAGATATGAATACTTGAAGCACAGCCCATGCTTCAACCCACTTCAGCCTCTCTTCTTTTTTTTCTTTTTTTGTCGTTTTGCGCAAGTGCTTTACTTTGAGGCTACAAGAGTGTCATTCGCCCTCTCTCTTTTTTTGTGTGTCTTTAAGGTCCACCTCCTCTTAAGGGTTCATTTTGATGTGAAAAATATACATATATATAAATATATATATATGTATGTATCATCTAGGCCACAGCAAAGCCGGTTCTCCAATTTCTCTAACACAAGGCATGAATAATATATCTTTCTAACCCCCACCCCCCCACCCCCCAGACCAGGAAGCTGATTTCCTCCCTGTGTTTTTCACATGAAGTTAATTGGATATCTTTTAATCAAAGCAGTTGTCTTGTCCACGAGAGAGAGAAAAAAAACTTGGATTCCGTTATTCTTCAGCTGCTCAGATCCCCATAGAATTTTTTTGTAAATTGTTTTGTTGTTGTTGTTTTTATTCCTCACTCCGGCTCCTCTTCTCGCCTTCTTCGTACCACATCACCATTTTCTCATTTTTTTTTTTTTTCACTTCAACTTCACTGTTATCAAGTAGGCCCTAAAACACACCATGCAGTTCCCCCTCTCCGCCTGCTTTCATGCAATAGTTTTATCCATTTTTTAGTGTCCAGGGTTGTTTCATGTGTAGTCGTCCTCCCTCCACTTCGGAGCCATCAACAACAACAACAACAAAAAAAAAATAGGATTCCTTGTTTTGTTTTGTTTTTGTCCTCCTCACTCTCTTGCCCACTTCTTCAGCTCAAGACACGGGCCATAAACCGGTTCTCACGACACTTTGCTCCAGTCCTGAGCGGTTCATCATCAACAGGCTGAAATATTCACACTGCAGAGTGTTATTCTGGCCAGTCGCTCCGATGTCAAACACCCTTGGTGAAGCGTAACGCCATGTAGCCCGACGGAAAGCTCCATTTATCAGCCCAAATTCGCCAATTTAGGACGCGGAGAAATCTTGTGTGGATGGCTCGCAATCTCCATTCAGGCATCCGCTGCCCGGTTGAGGATGATCCGCCTGATATAAGAGCTCCAAACCCGGGCGCAATTGGCTACAGTGTTACCAGGCTCCGCGATTTTCTGTCATTCTGGAGGAAAAATAATACTAGTAATAATAAAAAATAATAATAATAATATGGATGTAGAGGCTGTCAGATTGTTGGAGGTACCACCTCTGGAGAATGCAATCGCTTGAGAGAGACACACAGAGGAGAAAAAAAAAAAAACAAAAAAAAAAAAAAAAAAAAGAAAAAGAAAGAGGAAAAAAAAAAGACCGCTCCGTTGTCCACAAGTTTCGGATCTGGAATCGGGGACGGCAGGATTATTTCACGTTGACGAGAGCGGAGCTAAGGCAGGATCGAGCTACATAATGCTGATTTAATGTTTGTCTTTTCTCTGCCTTTTCTGGCGTTTGCCCTTCCAATTCTTCAGCACTGCTTGACAGCGGCACATCCAATAAAAGCACCCGCAAGGATTGACCTACAGCCTTTACTGACGTTAATGCAAATGAGCTGCGAACAGCTAATCGGAGCCGAGCTCGACGCCGCTGGGTGGTCCTCCGCTTTCCGTGGGAACTTTGAAACCAGGAAAAGAGCCTCCGCGGTCGGACACGGAGCTGGATGCAGGTACGCTGGGCTCGACTTTGCTCGCGCAGATAGCACAGAAACACCGCATGAAATGCCGTTTTCGGGGAGGTTTTTGCGCTTCTGTCTACTGCAAAAGAAGTATGGTGAACCGAGGAAAGACGCCCCCTTACGAACAGTGTCTGTTTTCTTTTAGAGCATTTATTTTGAATGTCTGTGTAACGTGAACACCGGGAGTATGCAAACCTGTCAAACTTCTGGTGTTGCTCTCACTTTAACTGCAACAAGAACATTTCATAGCACATATAGAAATCATTTTAGATTTGTTTGTTGTTGTTTTTTTACATGATTGAACACAAATTATAACTGTACTATATTATAATTCAGATTTAAATTCATGCCAAAAAATAATATCAAGTCAACAAGGATGTTTAGCCAATAGGAGCACTTAATTTAAGCTAGCTAGATAGTGCTACAGCAAGCTAACGCAGCATAGCATTATTAGCTTAACCTAAAGTCAGCTAGTTAGCTAGTGCTACATCAAGCTAATATAGCACAACAGTAATAGCTTAACCTAAAGTCAGCTAGTTAGCTAGTGCTAAAGCAAGCTAATATAGCATGACATTATATATATATGTTAGCAAATATATATACACAAAAAGGCTAAAAATATAGTTATAGTATAAACTATGTACACCTTTTTTTTTTTTTTTAAATGTCATTGTACTTTGTGTATAATGACATTAAAAGCATTCTGTTCTATTCTTTCACACATACAGGTGTGGCATGATGAATGAATATATATATGGATATGATGAGCTCATGAGTTTAACATACAGTCAGATAGTTACCTAGTGCTGCAGCAAGCTCATGTAGCATTGCATTATTAGCATAACCTAAAGTCAACTAGTTAGTTAGTGCTACTGTGAACTGATGTAGCATTACATTTTTAAGCTTAACCTTCAGTCAGTCAGTTAGTTAGTGCTACAGCCAACTAATATAACATAATATTATTAGCTCAACCTTAGATCAGCTACTGCTACAGCAAGCTAATATAGCACAACAGTAATAGCTTTAGGCTAAAGTCCGCAAGCTGACAAGTGCTAGAGCAAGCTAATGTAGCCTTACAATATTATTTTAACCTAAAGTCAGCTCGTGCTACAGCAAATATTATCACACTACATTTTTAGCTCAACCTAAAGTCAGCCAGTCTTAGCTAGTCTTACCTCAAGGGGGCGTCTTACCCCTGTTTACACTTTAATTTACAGTAGCAACTAAAACTATCTGAATACATGGTAGAATATTTAATAAGACTCTTAATTGCACATTATAATGAAAAAAGGTTCTAAATAAAATGCTTACAAAAGCATAAAATGTCTGTAAAACTGACTGAAAAAATGTATAGATGAACAAACCATTTTATGAACCCAGATGGGAATCTTGACTTAGAGACAGCAGCACAACATAAAAGCCATCACAAGCACTAAAATGAACACACAAAAACCTGAAAATACAAACTGTCTCCTGTACATACATTAATCAGAAATGCAATAATACCATGAAAGAGGCTCTAAAATGCTGAAATTGCATGTGTAAACTATGCAATGGAAGTTTTACTAGTGAGTTCTCCACATCTCCGGGTTGTGATGCCTTTAAGGATCGTGTTTTATACAACCAACTGTTCAGTGACTTCACATTTTACAATCGAAAACATGCACCTTCTCTTGATGTCTGCTTATTTTTCCTTGTGAGATTTTTTTAAAATCTAGTGTCAGATTTTCTGTTTCCCAGCAGCCTCCAGGCCAAACAATATAAGTAAATTAATACAATTGTGTGAGCAAAAATATTGCGAAGAAAAGGTTTTTATTTTATTTATGTGGACTGCAGTAAGCTTTACTATCAATTAAAAAGCAAGTTTGACTGATATTCCCTTTCTGTAGTCCCTTTTTTTTTTTTAAACCCAAGCACACATTTAAACATTTTTCAAGTATTTCTTCCCTCTTCATAAGCACTGTGTTTTCCTGTGTTTCTTATCAGTTTTGTTTGAACAGTCTTGAGCCTATCAGGGACACTTGTCGCTTGTTTATGTTCACAATGAGCCTGCCAGGTGATGCGATTTCCTGTCATCACAGAAACTGTGGACCTAAATGACTACAACCCCAACACGTGAAGGGTCTTTATGCATGATGTTTTGTTTAATCTACTTTTTTAAAATTAGACTGCTATCGAACAAAGAGTTTGACATTGATAGTAGGTGGTTTAAAAACAATATTAAAGCCTCTTATTGCAGACTCTTCGAATTTGAGACAGCTGAGCTCAAAAAGTGAATCTCCAAGAGTAATTTACAGCAGCATACCCAATAAAGAGATTTGCAGCATTAGGATTTACTTGTATAAGTGCGTACGAGTTTGTGATCAGACAAACATGACTTCAGCAGCATCAGAGAAGTTGACTGAGTTGTTGTTGCTCCTGCAGTAAATGTCACTCCTGTACGTATGCATTTCATTTGATGCAGTTGTCGCCATGCAGTAAGGGACTGTTCAATACAATTGTCAGGCTACTATAAATGTGATGTACCAACCCAAGTACGGAATGTTTTTATGATGCTTTGCCACGTGTCAAGTCTAACAAGTCGGACAGTCGTGTATTGCAATGCACTGACATGCATCAACTGCAGATGATACATATCAGGATGTTGATGATGTGTGGAACTTGGCAGAAAATAAAAGGCACTGGTGTGTTAAAGGGATACTAAAGCTAGTGAACTTTCAATACACAGATAAAGAAAGAAATGGTCAAAATCCAACACAGAGGCTGAAGCATCCTACATTTCCTGGAGTGCAACCACCTTTAATTGTACACTTCCTCATCTGTGATGAACACCCGTCTCTCAAACTTGATGCCTTTAGTTTGTATAAAACCAACTTTCTGTTTTGTAGCTGTAGTCTTCAAGGCCAAACTAAGATAAACTTGATAAACAATCACGGATGTTTTGTCAGACCAAGCATGCAGAGCAGTCCTTCCACATGACAAGTAAACTTGCCTTTAGAATCAGTAGAGTTCTCCTTTAATATGTTTTAAATGACAGAAGTGTGTTTAGTCTTTTAGCTTCAGCCGGCTAACAGCTGCACAGAGCTGCTGAAGTGACCATAAAATTCCCAATCCGATGTGTAACGCCAGCAAGCTTTCACATTCCAGACCAGTATAGATTCAGTGTTGGCATCATTGCTTTTTGAAACGTTAAGCAACATATCTATAGCAGACATATATGAGGACTGAAAACAAAACCCAGCTTTAAAATCACTGTAAATCACAGCCTCAAATGGTTTATTGCTTCTATAAAATGACCAAAAAAAAAACAACACCCACCAATTTAAACAAACATTGTACCAGTTAAATAAATCCACGTTAGAGATTTGACAGATGACAGCACATAAAAGACTCCACTGAGAGATAATGCTTCGCTTTTTTTGTCCGCCGTCACTAACACCGGCTGAATTATTCATGAGGGGATGACATGTTTACTGTTATTTGCACTTCTGTCATTTATGTGTGTTTGCCTATCAGTTATTATCACTGTACTTTGCGCAGCCACATTCTTTAGCACCAGCACTGCAGGAAAATAAAGCAGTAATTTATTCATATGACATGCTGTCAAATAGCATGTTTTATCTACATGACACATGATGTTTTTCAATTTTCTTAACTAACATAATTCCTCTTGCACTAAAAAAAAAAAGTTCACTTTAGAGTTAATATGTGAATTTGTTTCCAGTCCACAAAATTGCATACTTAAAGATTTAAATTTAAATATCAGTAGTAATATATCAGCCTCTGATATCACAAAAAAATTTGTCTTTTTTTATTTCCCCCTAGCTACTAAATATTTAAAGTATTCTATAAACTGGGACTTTAATCAGAATTAGCTTCATCAGCACTTTGGCAGACACTATAGGAACAGATGGGGTGTACAGATGTGTACATCAGCATTTCCTTGCAACATTTGCACATAAACAAAAGTTAAGAACACACCAAATCAAATATTCAATCATCCTCACCCTGTTTGTGTTTTAAAGTGCAAATGGTGTCTGTTATTTTCAAGCATTTTTAGATTTCCCTCCAAGGTATTAAAGATGAAATAAATTAAACCGACAACATGGAATAAATAATCATACATGAAGTATTGTTTCATTTATATTTCATGATTGTTTTTTTTTCTCCACACAGTCAGATTTATTTCATAGTGCCACTTTTTAAGATGACACCATGCCATAACACTCAAAGCTTCTACTGTAACACTAACAAACCAACATAATACACAGTTTCAGTTTTTAAAGTTCTTTAGCTGTGTTAAGCTACAGGTGAAAGACCTTTAGCTGAACAACGCTGCTCATATCAGCTAGACTTACAGTAGATATTGATAAATACAAAGAAAACTAATGTACAGTGATTCCTGAAGGAATTAGGTTATTATACCATAATGTTCATCAGTGTTCAGGCGAAATGTGGCCTCGCAGGAGGTCATGGATGAAGTCAGTGGTTTTACATGTAAATAAGCAGATAAAACATTAAATCAAAGAATCTACAACAGTGACAACTGTTCCACTTTTGTCATATTGGTTGATAGCAACTCATTAGAGTTTTCTTTATA